AGAAGAGAAGAGAAGAGAAGAGAAGAGAAGAGAAGAGAAGAGAAGAGAAGAGAAGAGAAGAAAAAGAAATAGAAAAAGAAAAAGAAAAAGAAAAAGAAAAAGAAAAAGAAAAAGAAAAAAGAAAGAAGGGCCGGGGAGATGACTTAGTAGAATAAGCGCTTGCTTAGTAAGCCCAAGGGCCTGAGTTCAATCTCTGGTTCCACCAAAAAAAAAAAAAAAAAGAAAAGAAAGGTTTGGTAGTGTTGTTCAGTGGTTGGGGGCATGTTTTGCATGTATGAGGCCCTAGGTTTGATTGTGAATATCATCATAAAAGAAAATGTTTTATATTGGTCACATTTTATTTGTATAAAATCAGGGCTGAAGGGGGCTGGGGAGATGGCTCAGTGAAATGAGCACTTGCCTGGGAAGCGCAACAGCCTGAGTTCAATTCCTCGTTCCGCCACCCGCAAAAAAAAAAAAAAAAAAATCAGGGTTGAGGATGTAGTTTGGTGACACAGCACTTGTTTAGCATGTGCAAATCCAATCCCTATGTATTATTCACCCAAGTGCATTTTATTCCCCCTGTATTAAGGATTGAACTCAGAACCTTCACATTGAACTGTATCACTAGACCTTTTGGAAACAGGGTCAGGCACAGTGGCATAGACCTGAAACCCTAGCACTCAGGAAACTGAGCTAGGGGCATTGATGAGAGTTCAAGGCCAGTTAAGACCCTGTCTCAAAAAAACCAAGAAATGAAACAAAAAGACAGCAAGGGTCTCCTTTGTGACCCTTCTGCCTCAGCCTACCACAGTACTGATTCCTTCTGTGCTACCATACCTGGCTCTAGTTCTTTTATTTTCCTTGATGAAGCAAAATTACCACGCTATGAGCTGCCTCATAGGCAAATATGGCCAGAATTGAGGGTGCCTCTAGTTACAGCCACTGAGGTACTGGGCCCCCCCATTCAACAGGCTGTGGGAAAACTTAATGCTTCCAATAACCACACACAAGCAGGACTGATCTTCCCTGGTCAAAACTTCAGAGGAGAGCTCAGTAAAGGCCAACACCTCCACAGTGCCCTCAGGTGACTTGGAATTTGAGGATCCAGGTGCTGCTTGGATTCCTTACCTGCAAAACATGACAGATAATGGGTGTGCATTTTTACTCACTATAATTGTGGGAATTTGTTAACCAGGCATAGATACTAGCATAGTAACTGTACCTAGATTCCAGAACATAAGAGCCATTACTTGAAAAGCTGATGAAATCCAAATGAAGTCTGCAGCTGATTTACTAGAACCTTGCCAATACTATTTTCTTCATTCCTAAACACACAATGGTAGAAAGGCCAAGCATGTAGCTTGGGGGTAGAGCACTGGCCTAGCACATGCCAGGCCCTGAGTTTTGTTTTTTTTAACTTTTGCTTTTTTTTTTTTTTTTT